TAGGGGAATGAGATCAGAAGGACCCCCGATCATGAGGCTTCGGGGATTTGATGGTGCACGATAGTGATTTGGCCCTGACGAGTTTTAGTTACCTTATTCATTTAGGATTCTTTTTTCTTTTCTATACTTTCATTAGTTTTATTTTCCAGACTAATTTAAAGGGTTGTAAACTCTGGTTTGAGGGAGATGAATGTTTAATAGAAAACCCGTTTTGGTTCATTGAGTTTTTACTCTTGAATTTGCTCTTGAGAATTGATGGACTCAAAATTCCTGAGTGTTTGCTTCGTATCAATCAAGTAATCACCTTGGTTGTGGTCGTGCTTCAACTTATATTGATAGAGCCTTCTCCCAGGTTTGAAATTGCACTTCAATCATCCTTATCCTTTTACCTTTTCGTGTTGTTGAGAGAAATTCAGAGAAACTCTATAAAGATTGCGACTGCGCGACTTTGATCAAAATAACCTAAACTTTAACGAGGTCGAGATCTTATCACATCTGCTCCGCACTGACTACAACTCCTGCCTACGCTAGCCTCCGCTCCGACGATGACTCGTGACTATACCTTTCTCGGCCGTCTCGAAGCTTCCAGTCTCCACAATCTTGAGCCCCCTCTCTACATCTATGGCTCTCTGTGAAGAGAAAGGATAAGAGAGAAGAGAGGTATCATTCGACGAAGGGGAAGAAAAGCAAAAAGGAAGAAAGAAAGGGGCAGGGATGGAATGGAATGGAAAAAAGGCAAAAACCAATTATTGTGAAATAACTAGGGGGCGAGTGGTATTTAGAATAACTAGATTTTCAGTTATTCGTAAATAACTCATCCCCAAATAAACCATCACGTTTTTGTGTACACAAACGAGTTATTTGGACCACAATAACTCATGCAAATCACTAATCCAAATGACCCCTTACACTATGTTTCCGAAGGAAGGGAGGAAAAGGAGGGAAGGTGAAGGAAAATTAGGAGGGGAGGGGAGATTTGGAGGTGAAGGAAATTGGGAGGAAAATGTTGTTTTATGGAAGAAAGTGGGAAGGAAAGTGTGTATTGGGAAGTGTGATGAATATGTTATTTTATTGGTTATGTAATAGTAAAATAATTTGATTGTATGTTATTATTCTACTTATGAATTGTGAATTAAATTTGTACTTTCTTTCTAAATCGCATGAGAGATTGTATCGGGAAATTAGTGCTAGGGTATTTTGTTATAAAACCGTGATTTAACAACATCAATTATTTTTTTATACTAATTGATCAAGCATTCTAAATCAAATAAAATTTGTTCAACTTATATTATACGTAATACGTGACGTAAATCATCCATTTGGTGTCATCCGATCCAAATGTCGGTTTGATCCGATGCAATATGGTAGAACAATTGTTATTATCAGTTTAAACTCTGATAATAATTTTTCCTGTCAAGCCGTCGATATGATATCCCACACAATGCGAAATGATGTTTAAAAGAAAAAAAAAATATGAAAAGTATAAAGACCAAAATTTATGACAACATCACTTACTCCTATTCGTATTACTTACTATCATTAATTGATCAAGTAAAAATGAGACTAATTAAAAGAGAAAGAAATTAAGAAGGAAATAAAATAAAGAAAGTGAAAATGGAGTTGGGAGTTGGAGTGGACACGCAGAGAGATGGCTTGGTGGGCCATGGGTTAAAAATGGTGGGCTATTAGAAATTAGACACTCCTCAATTATGTTTTCCGTCCAAATTGGAAGGGCGGAGGAAATAGTGAATTACTTTCTTTCCTTCCCAACAGTAGCTAGCTAAAAAAACAATGGAAAGTTCATTAGAATGTGTGTTTCCCTCACCTCACCTCACCTCCCTCCCCTTTCCTTTCCTTTCTGTCACGTGCATTTATTTAGTTTTATTAGTAATTAATTATGATTTGTTAGGGGTGGGAAAGGATTGTGACGTGAATAGTGGGAATTAGTGGGTTAGTGGTTAGCTAGAACTAAGGGGCTTTAGCTAAATGATAGGTGTTTTTCGTTAAGTTCATTAGTTGTAGGATTATTAGAGTTTTCACTCTCTATTTAAAGTAGCAGATGGATAGAGAAAGGATAATCAATCAAGTATAATCAAGAAAAGGTTTTTACACACCTACGTGTTCAGTTGGGAGGTTGGCTTTCCTCGAAAAAGCTTAGGGGTTCTGATAGGACAAAAGCGTATTGCTTCAATTCCTATCTCGTAGTAAAACCGGAAAGTCCGGGTATCGTCTCTCAGGGACTGGTACAACCTTATATTCTATCAATTCTATGGAGCAAACTATAGGTGAAAATTATTTGAGTGATGAAACTATTATCTAATGGCAAAATAATTAAACAGACTAAGCAAATTAAAATTGTCGGGAGAAATTCAATGGAGAAAGCTCTGGGAGAAACACCGGGACTCACTACCTATCCTATCCAGATTAATTCACATATTCCAATCAATTTAATCCATATCTCTACAGCCAGGATATCACTACTGTGCTAGCTATTCCTGTCGGGAATTACTAAGTACTAAACAACTAAATCAAATCCTACTGTCGTAGCTCAATGACTTAATTATTTAGCCTGAAGATCGATATCCCAATCAAGACCGCATAGTACCTTATTTAATCCACTGTCGCTTCGATAAGTTACTATGTCACATGAAATAGGTTCAGTTATTAGGGTTTCACTGTCGCTAATAACCTAATTAACTACGATTCATTGTATTGGTTGTCAGTCAACACAAAGCATTAAGTAATTTCATGCAATAGAGATTGGAAGAAAAGAAATACGAATCAATCCATCAAATATAGAAATAGCTACATCCTATGGTGTTTCCCCCAGAAATTGGGGTTTAGTTCATGACGAAAATAAAACACACAATCATGTTCATATTCATCATCCAACTAATCACGAGCGAAGGAAAATACTGATTTTGAATTATGCACTGCGACCTCCTGTTCCGCGCTCCGCTCGCTGCTGTCCCTCGCTATTTTCCGCGCTCCGCTCGCTGCTGCTCTCTCCATCCCAAATTAGTTCCCGCCGCCAGCAATTAGAAGATCCCCCAGCAGAAGTTTTTTCCGTCCCTTTTTGTGTCCCATTTAATCAAAAGAATCCCCCTCACTAATTCATTCCTCCAATTAATTCCGGCCCAAGTTGCCCAAAAAAGAAAGACTCTCAATCCTATTAATTCCTCCCCGGTCCAAGTTAATTGCCGGTCCACTTTCTTGTGCAATTGATTCCGGTCCAAAATAATTCCCACCAAGCCTGGCAATAATCTCCCCTGCTATTAACTCTGCTCAAACTTCCTCTCCTCAGCTAATTCCCAAAAGCCTTTTCTCTTCAGAAGTGGACAAAGAAGTTGGGACAAGAAAATCCCCCCAAAAGCCTTCCCTCGTCCAAATCTCCAATTAATGATCCAATTATCTCCTCCCTTTCACTAATTGCCGGTCCACTTTCGTCCCGGACCAAGAAAGAAAAGGGCCGCCCTTCCTCATGGCCGGTTCAATTAATCCAAACCAATCCACTCGCATTATTCCATCCATCAATGCAAATTTCTCATTTCATTCACCTGAAACATATAAAATATTTGGCACTCGACGGTAATGGTGTTATAACCATTCCAAGTTTAGTTGAACAAGCATTATATGCCTCAAACATATCATGTAATAATCATATTAAACACACAATATCAATATGTTTTCGACAATTATCAGGTTCCGTTCTCGCCATTAAGGAGAACACTTCTCTTCTACGATTCTATCAATCTTTCCTCCATTCTTATTCTTCATATTCCGATCTTTCTCCCGACATCGTATTCTTGAAAACGTGCACGTAACATATGGTATCAGAGCCGGCCGATCCTACGACAATGGAGGTTTGCACAAAACCACTTGATTATATGCTGGAGGAAATGGTGCAAGAGACCGCTATATTGAGGCAGGAGATGAGAGAGAGTTTGGCGGCCCTCATCGCAAGGTTCAATCGATTTCTCGGACGACGGTAAATCGATGGCGCTACCCGTATGGCAATTGATCGATCTCCGTCTCTGGAAGGCAGGGAGCAACTCACTACAAAAAGGCAGTCATTATCGACGACACGATTTTCGTCATAATTGATAAAATTTCGTCGGAAAATATCTTTTACGACGACATTTCGTCGTCAGAAATTGTCCCGTCGCTAATAAAATATTATTGACAAGTCGTCAAAATTACAATATTATTGACGACATGAATACGTTAGTAATAAAATAAATGACGTCACAAAAGAAATCACTCATGATGGATGAATTTGACGATTTTTTTTACGACATCTTCATTTATTTTTGACGCATTATGTTTGTAGGTAAACCATTTTTTCTGACGAGACGTCATAAATACTAATTATACTAACGTCCATAATTCATCAAAAATAACTATTTGCGACCAGAATTTGAGGCCGAACATTTTTTTTGATACGTTGTACATACATTTATGAGGATGTGTATGCATCACTAATATATTATTACCGACGTTTAGTCAAAAATATAAATTTTACTGATGCCGACAAATTGTCGTTAAAACTATGTTTTTCCGACGTGTCATCGGAAGAATTATTATTTCCGAGGACAACTATTCATCGTAAATAAAATCTTTTCCAACGTGTCGTTCGATAAATTTTTATTTACGATGACAACTATTCATCATAAAAATAATCTTTTCCGACGTATCGTTGGATAAATTTTTATTTACGATGATACCTATTCATCATTAAAAAAAATATTTTTCCACTTGTCGTTGGTTATATTTATATTACCGAGGACATATGTTTATCTTCGAAAAAAATCTTTTCCAACGTGTCATTGGAAAAAATATATTTACTAAGGACATCTAATTATCACCAAAAATTATCTTTTCCAACACGTCGTCGGAGAAACCACATTTACTAATGACGCTTAATTATTGTCAATTGTGCAATTACATCTATTAACGCCGACGACATTTGTTGCTAATTGCTTGATCAAATTTCATTTGTGACGCAATTACACTTCTAGTGATGACAACACAAACAAATCATCCAAACAAAGTTATGCATATTCCAGAATTAACTTTCAAACTGTCTAACAAGTAGCCATCAGCTACGACCAAACATCCAAACTTCAAAAGGCAAAATATCCTCCAAAAATGACACAAAATATCCCAAAGTTAAGCGATACTTAGAATCCTACGATAGCATTAGAAAGAAATTCATGCATCAGCAGCAGTCTCCTCGACAGTCTCCTCATCGGACTCGTCGGCCTCGTCGTCGGCCACATCGTTACCCTGAGTTTCCCCAACTCGACCTTGTTCCCCATTTGCTTCACTATTGAGATCCTACATAGAATATAACAAATAAATTAGGCATAGCTTCGAAAATATATAATGAGTAAAAAATAAAACATGGCAGCAAAATAGATACCATGTCGAATGACTCGGGCAGCCGCACTCCAAGTCTCTGCAAGACAGATTCACCAATGTGAGGGACTGCATTCCTCACATCTACGATCTCATCCTCCAACTTCTTCATTTTCTCATCATTTTTCCCCTTTCTTTGGTTCGATCCTCCTGACAACGCTTGCTGCAACCCTGACTACCTTGACTCAATGGGGGACCGAAGACATCAACCGAGCTCACCCCATGGCCCATCCCTAGAACACGCTTTGGGCGTTGTGGTCCGATCACTTCTTGATAGATGGCAAATCTGTTTGGTTCTTCCCTTTGGGATACCTTTTCAGCCTCTGCTTGTATCATTCCATCCTAATCATGGAGTAAACAACATCAATATCAATAAAGAAAAAAAAAAAACGAGTACAAACAACAGCCTAATACTCTATAAACAACATCAATATCAATAAAAAAAAGATAACAAAACCGAGTACAAACAGCAGCCTAATACTCTGTAAACATTATTGAACTTACATGCAGGGTTTTTGCTTTTGACGAAACCCAGTTCTTGTCCTTCTTCACATGGAAACGTCTAAACATCTCGATCGAATCAGGTTCTTTTCCAGTTTGTTTTATCTACCAATCAATTAAAAAGAAAAATTGCATTCACATGTAAACTGAGTACACTTGAAGCCTAACATAAACATTAGCAATAGTGCATCAACTTACCTCTTCATGTCTGTACTTGGCCAACGGTGCTGAACCGCCAGTGGCTGCAAGCTCACTCTTCTCCCGATTCCCTTTATTCGTATCACTCATTTCCTTGAATTCGAAACAACAAACAATCAGCTCACCATTGAAAACAGATTAGGATGAAAGACAAACACCAAAGCATACACCCACTTAACTTACCACCCAATTCGGGTTAGTCCATTTCTGAATCATCTCCCTCCAAATTGGTGGACTTATTTGCGGTGGTGGATGGTTCATTTTCTCATTCAGATCCTTATACTTCGTGAATATCGGGTCTCGGAGACCATACATCCACTAGGGAAAGTTTCTCTTCACGTGTTGTCTGACCATATCGTTGAAAGTCTCTTCTGACCCAGTGTAAGTGAATCCTGAGTCCTTGAAACGAGCTATCACAGTCTCGAGTTCTGATGCAGGATACTTTGAGAACGTAATCCAAGGCCCTTTGATGCTCCTTTTGAAGATAGCTGAAATTTCACGGGCTGCTTGAGTGGTAATTATCCTGCACAGTTTAAAAAAATATCAAACTAAGTAAACTGAGTATAGGGACAGGTTAACGTGAAAGATTTGCGATAGGTTGTGCAAAAAATTCCAAGGAACATTATACATACCTGTTATCGTGAAATTACAGGGACAGGTTGCGTCCAGGCTTTACACCCTTTCATAGTCCTCTTCCTTTTCTTTTTTTGGTCTTCCCTATCACAAGGTCACAACTTATAGTCAGCTACAATGCAAAGACAGAAGTAAGCCAATTGAAAGGAAAAAAAAACCACACAATGAAACTAACCATTCGAACTTCCACCCTCTGATGATGATAGGGGACCTTTGATCCATTCTTAGAGTTTCAGTGATAGGAACAGGCGGATTGGTGTTCCTGCCACCTTATCCTTCTTCCCGATTCTCTGAAACAAGAGGCGGAGAGGGAGAGTTGCTCTACACAGGTGAACGAGGTGCAGATTCTTCCCTCTGGCTTTGAGAACGTAGGCGTTTCTTTTGCTTTACCATCTAGTGAGAAGCAGAATTCGTTAGAGGGAGGAGAGGAATGGCAGAGAAGAGGGAATGGAAGATGACGAAGAAAAGGCTTTTGGGTTCCTTTATTTAGCTCTGCCTACTGAAGCGTGTTTATGGTTACTAGAAATTATTAATGAAGCGTGTTTGTGTGTAGTTATTGTGTGATGGTGGAAAACGGGGGAAAATCCCGCCTTTTTTATGCTAACGAAGAGGCAGACCAGGTTTATGGTACTTTACCTTTTCTGAGCAAATCTCGTTCTAGAGATCCCTCTATGTCGTTTTACTCATTTAACGCATTAATTCATTTTTTGCAATTAAGGTTTAATTACATGAATGAACAATAATTGACAAAGTAGGGGGGATTTAACAGAACTAATTACATGAATGAACAATGAACCAAATTACAAAGAAAACGAACCAAAACAGACCCCATGGATCATGATTCGACATACTTGGCACCTCAACTTAGCTTAAAAACTGTCCACAAGAATTGCACCATGGATGAACAACCCACATTCATTGACCAAATCAAAGTAAAAGCCACTGAACTAACTCAGAACAGACCCCATTGTGCAAAGAACGAACTAATTACCTGGAATTCCGATTAAGTCCCAATCTCAGAGAGTTCTAAGATGCTTTCTGGGTGCATGCATGTTCGATTTACACCTGCAATTGAGGAAATCAAACCGCAGCATTCAAATCCACATCTATGCATATAAATTGATTTGCTTGTACACATCCAATCGAAAGAAAAAGCAAACAAACCTATATTCTGTCGACTAAGAAAGGCGAAGGAACCCAAATTCCGGCGAATAAAGATCGCCTCTCTGCCCTCATTCATCTCTCTCGATTCGCAATCCGCCGCGAAACCCAGACCCACCTGAGGATTGGGCTCCCGCTGCATCGCCTCTTCCACGCTGCTCAGTCCGTCGACCGATCGGAGCAATCGACGGCGGCCGTGACGTCGCCTTCGCGCACCCCTGTTCACCAACCGCCGCAGAAACTGGAAATATCGTCGTCGTCTCCTCCGCGCTCCCCAATCTTCCATCATCGACAGACTTGACATCGCCTCAATCTTTTGGGTAAGCGAGCAAAAATGAAATTGATTAAGGGTTTGGTTAAACAGAGTGCATGCGAGGAGGGGAGAGGGGAAGATGGAGTGCTTTGTTCTCCATTTTAATCTTTTGAGAATAAATTATAGTGTTAATTGATTAGCTGACATTAAAAAATAAAAATAAAAGTGTTTTATTGAAGCGAAGAGGGGCAGATGATTATGTAGGCTTTTTAATTTATATTTTGTTACTAATAAACATTTAATACAATTATTGAATTGCAATAATATATGGTTCAGGCTAGCGTGCACCCAGGTGTATGTTAGGCTATCGTACGCCCGTTGAGTTTTACTATTTAGATCATGAATTAACCGGAGTTTTTGGCATGATACTATACCCTAACCTCTAATGGATAAACCCCAGTCCCTAATTTTCTAACCCAACTCATGAGATTCGTTTAATTTTAAAAAGTAAATCAACAATAATTTTGACAAATCAAGACCGTTGATTTTCATTTCAAGATTAAATGAATATTATGCTTTGGATTAGTGAATTGGGGACTGGGGTTCACTCATTAGGGGTTATGATATAATATCATGTCCCAAACTTTGGTTAATTCATTGTCTAAATAGCAAAACTCAACGGGCGTACGGTAGACTAAGGTACGCCCGTGGACTGTCGGAATGTTATAAGAAGGGAAAACGAGAAGTTGAGCTACATCTATTACGACGAGGAATGTCACGTGATTACACTAAATGGATTTACCATGAAGAGAAATAAGATGATGATTATTCTGAAGAGGAGGATGCAGAGGATGTTGTAGACGATGGTAATGAGATGGTTGTAGAGGACAGCATTCCCGGGGCTAAAAGCCCAAAGACAGGTTCCAAGGGATGTAGATGACATACCGGGGTTACTGAATGATTTGAGACCGCATTTGGATCCTGACCCCGAGAATCCCAATGCAGAGGCAGAGCAGTTTTCAAACCGGTTAGAGATTCTCAGACGCCATTGTATGAAGGTTGTGATGCAAAGCTATCCAGTCTGTCATGCATGGTGAAGATGATGCATTTGAAGTGGTGAAGAATTACTATCAAGCAAAAAAGATGATGCATTTGTAGTGTTTCTTAGAAGTCTGGCTTGGAAATGCTGATGTTTATACCTCCTTCGCTCTTGTGCTCTTGAGATATTGAGTATTGCAGAATAGCAGAAAGGGAATACTGGTTTGTTTGATTGTGATTGTGTGGGTTTGGAAATGTGGAACCTTGTGCTATGAATACTTCCACCACCTAAAAGGCCTTTTCCCCATGTCCAAGACCCTAGCCAGTCATTTGAACCTGTGTCTAAGACCTCCTGATTAGTTAGTGATGACATCCCATATGTGAACTCTAACATTTAGAGGTTGCCATCTTGGTGAAGAGATGTTAGGGATTGAGAGAAATAGCATGCGCATTTATCGCATTAAATTGTCCTGACCCCACTGGTCGAGAGTGAGTGATTCATGTTCATATTCTTTATACTCTTGTACCAGGGGTGAGGACCTAGATTGCTCGGTCTCTGTTCTGATGTCTTTAGTTGGATGCATGAGTTGACTGTTTTGAGTGAGTGGTTGAGTCAAGTCTGGGTTGGTTGGTGAACAGAAGGGAGACCCTTCCGTTGCTCGATTTTGCTGCACTCGAATGTCCTTTGTGGTGGTTGTCCAGGTTGCTATTGAAGTTGTTCATGTGTTGATGCTTGAAAACCAGTATGATTTACGTGTTCTGTGCCTTTATGACTTGTCCCCAATGTTGGTTGATTGAAATATGTGAGTTTACCTTGTGTATGACTTGGTTTGCTTGGGGACAAGCAAACAGTTAAGTGTGGGGGAATTTGATAGCATCGTATTTGCACGTATTTTCACTCTGGTTTCCTGTCCATTTTGGCTCGAATTGATTGTTCCTTGGCCTATTTTACGCTAGGTTGTGTTGTTTTGTCGTATTTCAGGTCCTAGTAAGTAAAGAGGTGCATAGGCGCAAGTTTCGGGTCATTTGGAGGTCAGATGGCGAATCACAGGAGGAATTACGGGCAGCCCCTGCCAAATTACGACCGTAATTGGTCAGGGCATGCCCGTAAATCTATTGCCGAGCCTCTTTGCCAAATAATTCTTCTCGGCGCTAAAATTACAGGCAAGCCTCCAGAGAATTACGACCGTAATTCCTAAAATACTGGCGGTAATTGTGGAATTACGGGCGTAGATCCTATTCCTTCAGAGTAGTTGAAACGTGCGTTTTGGGGCGATTTACGGGCTGGCCGTGATTACGGCCGTAATTCTGCCCGTAATTCGCCCAGAGTCGGGTTTTTGGAGGCACATTCGAGCCAAGGAAGGGGCATTCGAGTTTCTAGAGCAAAAACATAGTTTTAGAGAGAGAAAGAGCGAAGAACAAACCCTAGGAGCTATTTTGGAGTGGATTTCTCACCATTGAAGCCCAGATTGCGTCCCCAGGAGTGAAGATTGACATCCCAAAGCAGATTTTCCTCATCTTTATGAGTATGACTACTCTGATTTCTGTTTTCCTTTCTCTCTCTATGGAGTAGAACCTCTCTCTCACTTGGGTATGAAGAACCCTAGTTCCTTGTGTTAGGGATTTGATTGTAATGACTTGGGATGATTATACTGTTTGGTTTTAATCGAATGATGCATGTTTATTGAATTGATTGAAGTCTGATCAGCTTTTCTCGATTTCTGCTGCAACCTGAGATAGATAGAATCTGATTAGGTTGTTAGAGCCTCTTCATTCGATAGTAGGAGATTGGCTATACGAGAGTTAGCCAGTTTACTGCTTTGTACTGGAATTCAATTCCAGTAGTGGAGTTCTGTGTTCATAGCCTCAGCTTTCTATCCCAGTGAAGACTAGTCGTCTGCCGGGTAGTTAGACTGAGAGGGCTTGGTCAGCTTAAGAGATTCCAAGCTACTGTCGGATCTTCCGCAGTCTAATCAACAGTGAATCAACCCAGGGGAATTACAATTGAACCTAACTAAGGGGCTAGGGGGACTCATTCCCGAGTGACTCTTTCCTGCTTTTGAAAACCGAACCATTTCCTGCTTTCTTACTGCTTTTGCTTTAAACAACAATCAATCGAATTAGTTGGCTAGATAATAGATAATCACTGAGTAAGCAGTAGATCTAGAGCCCGGGTTGATAATAGAACTTGCCTGTTACTGCATTCCCGGACTGCGATTACACTTGGTCGCAATTTGGTGTTGTGTTTTGGCGTGCCAAGTTTTTGGCGCCGTTGCCGGGGACCCTCTAGGTTATTGGGGAAACGTGAGAATTTGTTACTCTAGCTTTTTCTTTATTGCATTTTTCTCTTCCACCTGTGTGCCTTCACGGGTTGCTTCTGCTGATTGTGTGCAGGTAGTGCATGACCCGTAGCCAGTCGGGAGATCTACTACCATTAGACTAGGAGCTTGAACGAACCTGCAGGAACTTCAAGCGGGCTCTAAAGGCGCGACTGGCTGCGGAGGAGGCACTATCACAGCTGCAGATCGAAGAAGAGGAAGAAGGAGAGATGGCTGATCAACAGAACCACGATGTGATCAATCTAGATGAGCAGACCATGGGATCCTACTGGACCGCTAGAGCTGCGGACATGAGGTCATCCATTCAACACCCTCAAGTCCCAGCCAACAATTTTGAGGTAAGCACCTCAGTAATCACCATGCTGCGCGGTTCAGTGGTGTTCCGTGGTAAGGAGGGGGAGTGCCCCCGATCACATCTCAGGCGATTCCACGAGCTCATCGATGGAATCAAGATCAATGGGGTACCAGCAGATGCCATCCAGCTGAGGTACTTCCCATTC